ATGAATTACAAAGATAGAAGAGTGATACTTAGTTTGTATAAAGAGCAACAGGCAGTTATAGAGCTGGGGATGCAACGTAGAGAAGTAAATATTAGGAAGGGAGTCAGGCAGGGATGCACACTGTCACCGCTACTTTTTAATCTATACATCGAAGACGCCATCAACATCATTAAAGTCAGTACAACTGTAGGGATAGATATACAGGGGCAAAAGATTTGCAGATGATATAGCAGTATTAGCATCTAGCAAGGAGGAGTTAGGGATAGGTTTAGATAAAATGGAAGCGGTATTAACAAAAGCGGTATTGTATGAAAATAAATAAAAGTAATACAAAAATACTGGTATACATGGGAAGAAAAGGTAAGGAAAGAGCGAATATAAAAATAGGAGACGAAAGATTAGAAGAAGTGGCAGATTTTAGGTATTTAGGAAGTCAGATATGTCAGGGTGGAAGGAGTAGTCGCCTTCAACAAAAAAAGTAGCTTCTATGCTCGCGAACGGTTAATTTAGAAATTCGAAAAAGATTGTTAAAGATGTATGTTTGGAGCACGGCACTGTACGAGTGCGAAACACCGACGGTCGGCGCTGCGGACAAGAAAAGGTTAGGAGCGTTCGAAATGTGGTGTTACAGGCGAATGATGAGGATTCCGTGGATAGAGAAGGTTAGATATGAAGAAATATTACGAAGAATAGGAGAACGGAGGACTCTATGGAAGTCAACAAGAAATAGGCGAGATAGGTTGGTAGGACACCTTCTCAAGCATGAAGGTATAGTCAGAGAGGTAGACCTAGATTAGATTACTGTTCGCAAATAGTAAAGGGTGTGGGTTGTTCTAGTTTTAAGGAAATGCGAAGATTAGCTCAGGATAGGAAAGAGTGGGGGTGCGTGTCCAACCAGTCTGAGGACTAACGACCTCATGATGATGAAGCTTTGATAGTAATGACCTTTATATATGACGTATAACGTGCTGATGACATCTAATTAGTTAAAAATTGCGATCTGCGATAAATTATTGACCAAGAGCTCAATAATATAAAATAGAGAACCAAATCATTTGGGATCTACAAAATTGTATCCTTAATGAATTTCATATTACTTACAACCCCTACAGTAGCTGTATGGGTTAAAGAAAGTGGATTTCCAAGTGCTACAACCCATTCTCCAATAGATAAATCTTTAGCTGTCCCAAGATTGGCCACTGGTAGAGACCGAGACGGATTAATTTTCAAGAGTGCAAGATCGGTATTCAAATCGGCATTTTCGACTGTCGCATCATAAATTTTTCCGTCGTGAGTCGTTACAGTAATGAGAGCATTTGGTTTACTCATAACCACATGGGCATTCGTTATTATTAAACCATCGTTGCGAACAATAAATCCTGACCCATTTGAAACTATCATTGGTATGCCGAATATGGGATCCAGTTTCTTTCTGTCTTTTATTTCTACAAACACCACTGAAGGTACGCACTTCTTAACAACCGATCCAATAAAATTGAAAGTCTCTCTAGGTGACGATTTGGAGATTCTATTGTACACAGCATTGTTTTTAAATAGGAATGAATACTGATCAGCATTCGTTTTAATGTACCAGAAAAAGATGCTTGAAAGGACTGAACACGAAACGCCAACGGCACAATAATTTATCAACTCATTTTTCGATGTTGGGAGATTTCTGACACGAGACCAATAATTAACTGCAGCTTTTCTTAAACTATCAAGAAATTTTCGCATAATTTCTTTTCATTTTTAATTTAGATAATTTTGAACACGACCAATTTTGACAAAATTTTTTCAAGTTGACATTTTTTGTCGTCGTTTTTGAAATATGACGAATATGTCTGACATTGATTGATTTTGTTTTACATGGCATCAATGTTATACAGTGCCGGGTTTTCCCCCTACCTAAATTATTGCTCTGAACTGAAACATTTATACAGAAAACTTCTCACTCGACTTCGACTTCATTTGTGCATTTGTTGTAGAACAATTTTTATGACACAGATGATTAATAGTTTCTTTATTTTTAAGTTTGTCTACCTCCTTCTCTATATCCATACAAAATATCTATCAAACAAATAAAATTAAAATTTTCTTTTGAAAAATGAAACCATTCCATCAGTATTTTCTTATGACGTTGTCACGTTCAACTATCGTCAGTAAACCGACTTTACAGACAACC